CACTGCTACTAAAAAGGCTGACTCCTACTACTTGACTTCTGAATCTAAGTTACATATTATTTTGAAATATCAAAAATTGTTTTAATTCCTCTAGTCTTCATTTAAAAGAAAAAATTCCTAGAATACAAACATACATATAACAATTTAAATAGCAAGTAAATATATTAACATACTTGTGTTCAAAAAGAAGTTATAGCCTATTTTCATCTATTGAGAAATCATATTTTCTAACTGAAATTTGTCCCTTGTTCTCATGAAATACAAAATAATTATAATTTTGAATACTAGCAAACAGGAAAAAAAGGAAACAGACCAGGTTAAATTTTGTGAATGCAAAATTATTTAAATGAATATAAATCATTTTCTTTTGAGCATCATTAGATAATAGGTATTTCATAAAATGGAAGGCATTCAATACAATATGCTTAATTTATAAAAGATGAAATTTCTCTATGATTAATTCAGTTGCAAATAACTAATGTAATAACAAAAACTATACGTGTACTAGAAATAACAACTGGATTTGAAAAAGGATTATATAGACTGATATACCAATAGCAACATTAAATCTGAAATCATGGTATCTTCATTTTATCTCGTTGTAATGTCTGAGATGAAAATAATGTGATAGCCAGACAGTAACTTCAAAACTGCAAAATGTAAACTGGAATGAAGACATCAACAAAAGTTACGAAGAATACTGGGAGAAGAAATGGCATCAGACCGTGAAGTTTTCTGGATCCAATTTCTTATACTGAGTTCAGCGGCACTTTTTCTCACAACATGAAGAAATGACTATGAGGAAATGTGGTGTTCAATGTGGCATGATAAAAGCAAGGCCATTATTCTGTGAGGTCTAGTAATTATTTAAACTACTTTCTAAAGTTCAAATTGTACATACAGGTCAACCTCTTCATATGAAAAGCTGAAAACCCTTCAGGAATTTCAAAACTACTTTGATTACCATACAATGACATGTATTTGTGTTTATACAGATTTAACCATTTTAATTAATACCACATTATTCTCTGAACAAAGAAAGGATGTCCACACAGTGACATGAAGAAAGCAAGCATATTTGTTTGCAGCTTTGTGTTTTTTATAGCTGCTGGGTTTTTTTTCTTTTGCTTTTTTTTTAGGATTTTTGATAAAAATTAGTGTGTGTATATATACATATAACTCTATTTGACCATCTTCTCATACATAAACAGTTGCATGATTCTGTGAATTTATCTCAACATCTTCATTAATATATATTGGTTGTATAGATTAATGGGTTTCATTTTGGCAGATTCATACATGCACAAAACATTCTTTAATCATTCCTTCCCATCACGGCTCTTGCCATCGCGACCTGCTAGTTTCACATTTTTGAGGGGAGTTTCAATGTACAAAATGTATTTTGATCATATCCACCTCCCAATTATCTGCCCTTACAGCCCCTTTCTCTCTCACTTATTCCCTTCCTCTTGTCTAATAGTAACTATGTATCTTTAATGTCAGTTCCAAACACTCTTGGTTCACTAGCTTATAAATTACAACACAGGTATGAAGTAAGCCAATGATGTATAGTTCTTTAAGGGGAAAGGCACCTTATTAAGTAGCGCTTTGTAAGTTTTTCTTTGTTCAGCCAGGTTTGTTTTGTTTTGTTCCGAATTTCAAATAAAGGCTGGCCTCTTAAAGACTATTTTCTATGCTGGCATAATTTTCTCTTAAATCTTATTCAGTATGAAGACCATTGTGTGAAACATCCAAACACTCCTGCCTACTCACACATACAACCTATTTTGTCTAGGAGTTAATTTGTCTTCTACCACACTGTGTATAAAGAAAGAAACAGGGGCTTTGAAATGGTAATAAGACAACATTAATGTTTTTCTCTCAAGCATAAATGTTTAAAAGGCTTCATTTTCTTAACAGATATTATGACAACTGCAGAGGTATGTTTTTGCACTTATGCTGACTTCTGGTTTCGTTTCAGAGGTGAAGCCAGTTGTCAGGAGGAGAGGGAAGGGGGCGTTACAGTCTCTGTTCACTGAAGCCACTGTGAAAATTCTAAATAATCTATGACTATCATTTCCAGGTGTCTACCATCAGACCTTGCTGAGCACCTGATCAATACAGAATTTTGTGATGAAAGAATAAATTTTACTATTACAATGGTCAACTGATGAAACTGCCAGTCAAATGACAGAAGGTACCTCACGTCCACTGTACAAATATCAGCAATAACTAACTTCACGTCCACTTTGACTTGCACCACCAAAAGACAATGATATAAAGTTTCTCCTTGACTCTACTTCAAGCGACAGACTTTTCTGCATGTTCACTAACTCATTTACTCTTCCATACATACAAACTTTATGTATGCCAGAAATCACTGAATCACTATTCTCAGAAATGCCAGCTCGGAATGCTTTAAACATTCAGCTAAAGAAGCACTGACTAAATGTGAGGTTCAACTGTTTGCACAAAAAATAAATAAATAAACAGATAAGAACCATATGGAAAAAGTGATACAAGAGAAGGAGATTTACTGTTAACAGTCAAGGGTGGCGCACAGCCTTGGGCGTGGGCTTACTTTGCAGGAAATCATTACTCTGCCCATTCGCAAGGCAAGAGGTTTCCATTGTGCCTTAAATGTCTATTTCAGCATCTAAGTATAATTACTGTCTCTGTCCTTCCACAGGACCTGAGTAACTAGGAAATAGATTGAGTGCCATTTATTTTTAAATTGTATTTCATTTTTCTATTATTATATGTAATATAAATTAATTTTATGGGTAATAGCTTTAAAAATTCAAGTGACACTCTTTAGCAATCAATTAAAACAGAGCCAGTTTCAGAATACTGGTTTTTCCATTTACATTTAATTGTAAAATAAATCCAGAAAGAAATTTTAATATTGGTACAACATAGATGCAGTAACATTAAAATCCTGATTCATCTATTCAACCAGCAAAATTTTCCTAATAAAGCACAAAATCACTTGAGGCAATGCTGGTTTAATCATAGACCTCAAAATTACTATTTCTACTATCACTGTCCTTCAATTTTAGCTTACTGAAACAAATATCCCTACTGAGTTATCTGCAAAATGAGAAGATTACTCAAAGAATTTATACCATTACCAATAATTAGTGTGTCTTACATGTTCAGCAGAGTCATTCTATTCAATGGTATACTCTGCTGCCTAAGTACCATGAAAATATTCTAAGAAATTTGCTATGTTCTACAGAGCAAAATGCTGGTGAGTTCCATGTAATAGCACATTATATGCCACTTTGCATTTAGAATCCTAAGGGAACTTAGAAGTGAATGTGTACAACTATATTGCTACAAATCAAAAGTCTATGTCCTTATACAAAGAATGGTGCATGATTATGAATTATGATTAGACAATTACCTAACATAAGCTTTGCATTAAAAATGCCAGCCACAGAACACCATCAGAGTTAGAAAATGTTTCATATTTCTATGGAAAATGTAGAAGTCGGATGCAAATTTACCAGTCCTTACTACATCAAACTAAAACATTGTGCCCGCTCAAATTCCTAGACCTAGAAGGTCCTGATACCCTAAAAAGTAAAATTTAATGGATGGCTTGACTAAATCACCAAGAACTCCAGGGATACTAAATTTGAGTAAGTATCACAGAAACTTATAAAACAACTTTGTTTTATTAAAGGTAGGATTACAAAGAGAAGAAAGTTTTCACATTAACATCTAGCTTTTCATAACTCTGGCCATCCTGAAAAGCCTGTAACAATAAACAACCATTATATTTCTTTACCATACTTTTACAAAGTTGTGGCAATTCAAATTCCAGTTGGTAGTTCAAGAGAGAATCTTAGAGTTTTAAAACTTAAAAACAGCAGGAAGATTCACTACCGTCAAGATGTATATAAACTGTGGTCTAAGAATATTCAGTGATGAGCCCAGAGTCATACAACTGATTAGACTTTCATGAGTATGTTAGGGTTCATCACTAATTTAAAAGAAAATTTTAAATATGTAAAACATTTATGACATTTTATCTTTAGCAAAGGTTGTTTCTATGTTTGAATTTAGTAGTTTTATCTTTTCTGGGTATTTGTTTGGACAGTATTTACAGACAACTTCAGACTCTACATACCTAGATAACTGAATTTTCCATTATAAGCTTCAGTGGATACAAAAACCTGCATACAAATATTTATAGATATTTTATATGTAATTACCAAAAGAATTAGAAATAACTAAGATGCTCTTCAATATGAGTGGGGAAAAAAAAACTGTGCTATAACCATACAGTGGAGTTATTATTCAGTGACATAAAGAAATGAGCCATCAAGCTATGAAAAGACAGCAAGGAATCTTAAATATATATTAAGTAAAAGAAGCTAGTCTGAAAAGTTACAGACTGTATGAATCCCATTATATGACATCTGGAGAAGGCAAACTACAGACAAAGCCAAAGATCAATGGCTGCCTGGGCTTGAGGAAGTAGGGACACTGGTGTGGAACAATGAAGAGGAGAAGCATAGGGCACTTTGAGGACAATAAACTGTTCTGCCTGTCACTGCCAAGGTAGACAGGTGACATTACACATTTCTGAACCACAGAACCATAAAATAAAAACAGTGAACCCTAATACAACCTCTAGACCTCAGTTACTAATAAGGTACCAATTTTGGTTCAGCAACTCTAACAAGTACGCCACACTAATCCAAGATGTGAAATGGAGAGACTGCTTGCAAGAAGGACTGGGTACAGAGAACTCTACTTTCTGAGCAATTTTTCTGTAAACTTAAAACTGCCCTAAAATGAAAATCTATTAGAAAAATAAGAACACTGTCTTATGAACTAGCCATCATCATAAATTATGTAAAATTTGATGTGAAAAGTATATAAAGCAAATGACATTTTCTTGAAAAGAAACTCATGGTGACATTTGTGTTAACTATAAGGTGAAACGCAACATAAATGACATTAATTTAAAAACTCGGAAATATTCTTACCTGTCCTGTGACTGTTCTTCATACATCCTCTCCTTTCCTTCTTTGAAAAGTCTTATTGCTCGTTTTGACTTTTTCATTAGACTATCAATGTAGATTTTAAAATACTCATTCTCGCTCAATTGGGCAAGCTTTTGGTTGTCATCGTATTTACTCAATATAAGTCGCAGGTGCTGATAAGTATCAGGTAAAATATCAAGTATATATGGCGGACTATTTTTCAACTGGAGTTTGGGATTCTGACACAGCCTTACCTAAAAACAAAGACAAAAATAAAATGTTTTTATATGAACCATATTTCCTTTCACAGAAAAATGAGAAATGAATGGAACTGTACCTATTTCTTCATTTTTCCATACTATAAATTATGACCATATTACTATATGTTACTAACTCCAGATTACAAAGAACTGGCAAACATTCATGTTTGTCTTAACATAATCGATTCCTCTTTTCTTCTTTTCCTGTGCAGGCTTTTCTATATCATGTCCTTATCTTCAAGCCCAAAATTTTAAATAACTCTTCTACAGTGTCATACTGTGCATAGTCTAAGAGAACTTACAAGTGCTAACCACTGTATATGCACCATATATGCACTGTATATGCTAATCACTATATATGCACCATTGTCTTTTTTTGAATAAAAATAAGGAAATGTCCTTTTTCTGTTGGCAACCAAAGTCTCACATTCACACATTACTACATTAAAATCACAGTTAAAGCTCTCTCACAGATTTTAACATTTTGGCATATTGTTTCTGAACCCCTAGGAGAATAAAACAAGAGGTATAATTTTAACAACTGAGTTATTAAGTAGTTAAATGGTGTCAGGTCAGAACGAGTCTGTTCCACCTTTCCACAATGTCTAGCAGGCCTATAAATATGCACAATATAACTGTTCAGTCAGTCCGTCAGGTGGTACCAGACCATTGGGGCATTCAAGACTGCATACAGAACTGAAAATACCTTATGCCAGCAGAAAAAAATAGCAATTCAACTATACACTGTATTCACTTATAGACGTTTCTATGATCAGCCAAAAATAAATAAGCCCAGGTCCTTTTACCTCTACTACAAGGGCACCAAGAACTCTCTAATTAAACAATTTTTTTACATGAAATCTTCAAGAATTGCACGAGTATACATAGTGTTAACAGTGCACATTTCACAACAGACTAAATCTACACATAAAAGTAGATTTACTGAAAAGACAGAAGCTTCTGGGTCATTCAGATAGATAGCCCTCTTGTCCTCTTCAAAAGCCCTCACCATATATACTTTTGTATCAGTTTTAAGAGCAAGATATTTTAAAATCAACTGATTAGAATTTCTGCTCTTTTCCAGTATGACATCCCTTCATAAGACTTAACCTCAAAACTGCTGGGTAGTATGGGAGAGGCCAAGGTCACTTCTCACATCTGGATGATGGGAAGTTGACTTGGAGATATTTTTTTTCTGTTTTTTAAGACAGGGTCTCACTATGTAGTTCTGACTGACCTGAACTCACTATGTAGCCCAGGCTGGCCTCAAACTCAGTGATCTTCCTGCCTGATTGCGGGGATTATAGCCCTGCACCACCATGTGTGGTTCAAGAGATAAAATATTTATGTTGCTTTTAGAGGAAGTTATATGTGAGGCAAGCAGTCCATTTCTGTAAACACTTAAATTATTGTCAGCAGTCTAAAACAAGCAAGGCACAGAAAAAAACACTATATGATCTCATTTATATATAATCTAAAAATTTTAAAAATCAAATAAGTAGAAACAAAGAGTAAAATACCAGGGGCAGGAAAGGGGAGGAGATAGGGAGAATAGATCTAGGAGTATAAAATTATAATTAGGTAGGATAAACAAGCCTAATGATCTAATACATAGCATGAGGACTACAGATAATAATATTATGCTGTATACTGAAAAGCTGCTAGGAAAATAGATTTTTGGTGCTCTTTCCACAAAACAAAAGGTAATGGACATGTTACTTTGTTTCAGGGCAATCATTGCACTATTTATAATTATATATACATAAATATCACGCTATATACCTTAACCATATACAATAAAAATTCTTTTAAAATTGTAATTCAAAAAGAATGTCTTCAGGAATACTTCAAAAGCCCACAGTGTTGAGAAAGAAAATCCATTTCAAATCTAGCAATATGAATCTATCTCATAGTACTGAGGACTTGCAATATATGTGTGTAATGGAAAAGAATCAAAAATAAAATGTATAGACCCCAAAACTAGTCTAGATTATTTCACTGGAATTTGTAGATTTATCAGCTTTTTAAGATTTATAATTTATAGCAAATTGTTCTCAATCTTAAGAAAATTCACTTTCATACCATATTTGTATTTGTACTTTTATACTCTCACAAAACATGGATCTACCCATGGACAAACAGAAGACAGTTGAACTGTAATATCAAGAACCATATATACAGTAAATTACACAAACAATAAGTGAAAAAAGAACCCTTATACTATCTTTCTTTAAGAAATCATTGTATCTGGGTGTGTGTGTGTGTGTGTGTGTGTGTGTGTCTGTGTGTGTGTGTGTTGGGAGGGGATCTGGCCCAAATTACCAAGCATCAGACTTAAAGACAACCAATTCTCACATTAAGAAAGGTATTATATCTTCTTCTACTCTGTATTCAGTGCCAAAACTGGAACTGTTTAGCACATGGTACATAACTAATAAACAAACATGTAGAAAGAAGGTAGGTTGACTGATTGTGGGGGGAAATATATATACACACACAATTCTGCATAAATAGTTCAACTGCATTATTTCCTCTATTATCATAATTTAACTCTATAAGTACTCAAATTGATAACTCAAAAGGTTTAAGCTTAGTTTAAATGTAAGACTATTTTGATCTGCAAGCAACTTCTTGGAAAGACAGGATGGCATCTCATTTATTAAATAATATTAAATATTTATGAAAAATAATTAAAAGGGCTGATAGTTTTTCTATTGCTTTTTTATTTTCGTGATGTATGGATATAATCAGAGAAGCTTAATCTGACTTAAGAAGTTCCAAATGTCAATAATTTAACAAATCCTGCTTGAAATAGGATATGGTTTTACAATCCTTTAAACCATTAAGATACTCTCATGAATTCAAAGAAATTTAAAGAACACTGCCACCAACTTCCTACAGCACAGTTTAATTTCAGCAACATGTACTTGTACAACACAGTACAGGCTGATAAATTATTAACTTGTAGTTAAGGGACAAGGTAGCTTCAAATGCATTTCTTTCACTAGTGAATTTTTAAACCAATTAATAAAAAGTTTCTCTCAGGGTTTTTTTTTTTAGATATTCCAAACCACTGTTCTTTGACAGATATATTTTTAAGTTTTATACATATGTAATTTACTATTCTCTACCTGACCTTTTACTCATTCGCTGTATTTAAAATTTTAATTCCATGTGGGAATTTATTACTTTATTGGGTAAAACTGCTTGAGTAACTATTATATACCAGGTACGGAGCTTAGTGCCAGAAAATTATAGATAACTAGAATGTACTTCCTGCCTCACAGAGTTTGGCAGAAGAAACCTAGTTCTCTATAATTAACATAAGAGGGATGCAATTCTTGCTCTAAGGGATCTTAGCAAAGATACTACCCAATCCATTCACTTCCAGCTAAAGAAACTAAGAACTACAAAGATTAAGGGGCTATTAAAAAATCATTAATCCAACACAACGCCTACATCTTCTAAATCTCAAGATGGTATGTCTAACTATATCACAATTTAATTATAATTAGGCATATAATTAATGATGCCTTCTAAACTCATTTCCATTTTAATTTTATTACATTTGCAAATGTACATGAACTTCAGGGCCCATTTGTTAATTCAACAAAAGTTTGTATGTCAGGCATTGTTTCAGGCAATGGCAATACAGAAAGGAATAAATCACAGACCTGCCCTCAAGGAGCTGTCTAGTGGGAAAGCCTGGTGGCTTAAGAAAGAATTACAGGATAATTTAGGGCTGTGACGGAGATTACAAAGTGCTGTAGGAGAAAAGAAGCATTTCACTCATATTCACAAGAGCATCAATAAAAGCATACCTAAAATTACAAACAAAAATGTACTAAGCTAAGCAGTATGCAAAGATTTCAAAGTAACCAAGGGCAAAACATGTTGAAAAAAAAAGAATAAATACAGCTAGTTTAAAAGCTAAGTCCATAGCAAGGCTGTAGACATCTAAATAGGCTGAAGTCAGCTCATCAAGGCTTCTTAGGTTACACATTTCCAAGTGCAACATAGGATGCTAAACAATTGCATCGAGTTCATCAGCTGGATTACTATTAAGCCCTATGATTTATGACAGCTTCTGCTGAAAATGAATAACCTTACAATAGGACTATGACTTCAAAGCAGGTCAAATTCAATTCATTCAATAAATATTAATTGAGCATCTGCTATGTCCAAGGAACTGCAAAAGCCAGGGAAATATTAGTTGCTTTTCAAAAATCAGTATATTAAGGGAAAAAAATCAAGCTAACCACAAGGTTGAAGTTCGGATTCAAACGACTTAGACTGCTGCTAGAAATATCTAGTTGCTCCCTAATATGAAAGCTGGTCCCCACACAGAAGAGCTTTCACAAAGAAATCAATCAACAGTCATGTCATACAACGATGAAATTTTTAGGGCACTAACATATTATTCTTTTTTAAAAGAAACTAATAGGCAAAATAGGAAAAGCCTTCTCCTCCTCCTACAAATGTTATCAAAGGTCTCTTGCTCCAATTACATAAACATATGCCTTAATTATAAGAGAGCAGAGGTATGACTTAATGGCAGAAAGTTTGCCTGGCATGTACAAGACCAGGGTTTAATATTTAATATCTTCAGCACCACACACACAAAAAGTATGTTATTATAATAAAAAGTATCTAAACATGCTTTGGGTTCTTTCCATTTTAATTCAGCAACTCCCTAAATATAGAAAAATATGAATTGTCTAAAAAATGTAGAAAGGTATAAAGTAATACAACTCTTCTTTACAGAATATGAACTGAGCCAAACAAAGTTAGCACGTGCAAGTTGCTCATGTAATATAATGAACATGAGTTCAATATTAGTTATGGTAGGATTTGGAGAAAACTACCAATTCCTTTATGATTCTCACTGAAGTCTGACATAAGAAGAAGCACTAGCAAACCAAGAAGTTACAATTAAAATATCAGCTAGGTATTCAACTGGTCATTATCTTTCTTCTAAATGAGAATGCAACTTT